TCAAGGTTCTAAATTCTATCATTGTAAGTACCTTTGTATACATATTTAGCTGTAAAGGTACACTGTACCCATTACGCCATTATACCCATTACGCCACGACTTACGTTATGCAATCTACACGAATTATAGTTGATTCTACACTCCGTACGCGATTCTAAGCTCATCCTGGCCGATAGGAATGGGTGTCTGCAGTTGAGTGCATCTGTATAGACAGAACAGCTATTGACCCTCTTATTATCTTTAAAGGACAGAATATCCTACAAAGCTGGATTCTAAAGGAAGTTATACAAAAATGGCACTTCTCTGCAAACACAAAAGGGTGGACAAGCAATCTATATAGATTAGAGTAGTTAAAACGTGTTTTTAAGCCTTCTACAAGAGCAAAAGCAACACAAAATGGACGACTACAGCAACGGCTTCTAATTTGCGATAGCTATAATAGCTATATAAGTGGAAGCTTTATATCACACTGCATTCAAAATCGAATATCGCTCCTTATACTACCTCCTTATACATCTCATGTTCTACAGCCACTTAATATTTCGATTTTTAGGCCCTTAAAGCAACACCTTACAACTGCTCTCTCGCACCTAAATGAGGCGCAACTCCTACGAATATAGAAAGCAGAGTGGCTAGAAGCATATATAAAAGCAAGAGCAGCTGCTTTTTCAACTTCAAATATAACTTCTGCTTAGAGAGGGAGTGGGCTACAGCCATTCTAGCCGCAGACAGTCATTCGAACAGCTACGCTCCCTACTACAGACGTAGTAGTATTAGAACGACCACATACTCCTACAGAGCATGATATTTTTAAGAAGGTATTCTTAAACAGTAGTCCACCTGATTTTAATACCCTTCAAAAAGCGAATCCTATACTCTCTACAGCCTTAAATCAAGGTGTTTTGAATACTCCTACAAAGCGATATATCAATAAGTTAGCAGATGAGTCAGAACGCCTTAATACACGCAACACCCTTCAAAAAAGAGAGTGTGATAACTTACGCTCAATTATTCAGAAGCGTAGGGCACAGAATAAGGGTAAAAGAGCTATTTTAAAGGGTCAATTCCACATCTCAACAGAGGAGTTGCAGTCGCAAGTTATAGAAGCAGAAGCAGCAACAGCTTCACAGAGGCCTAGAATAACGCCACGACCTATGAACGAAGCTATAATTGAGGAAATAGATGAAGAGAGTGAAGAAGAGCTATATGATAGCGATTTAGATGAATTGGCTCTATAGTAATTGAATTATTTACGATTTTCTAAGTTAGTAGTTTGGTGGTTTAGTCCTAGATTTTGGTAGGGTGTAGAAAGCGTCCCGTTACGCCATCCGTCCCGTTACGCCATGACTTACGTTATAAATTCTGCTGCAAAGGTACATAGCCCGGTTACGCCATTAGCCCGGTTACGCCACGACTTACGTTAACTTAGGAGGTATTTGAGGTTATAGTTGTTAAGTTTAAGGTTGTTGTTATAGGTGTTGTTATATATGTTGTTGTTAAGGCTAAAAAACGCAACACTTATTTAACTGGACTTCATCTGCAACCTCTTGTAGGATTTGATAGCTAGGTGCGTAGCTACTATTTATAAGCTCCTTTATCTATTTTAATAAGGTACGCTCTTGATTTTTAGATAATAGTTGCTGTTTTTAACGCACTTCTTACCTTAAAGGCTGTTATTGGCTAACGCGCTTACTAACAGTATTGCAGCTTAACCCTAAGGCCTTAGCAGCCTTATATAACGACTTATACTTCTTATTTTAGATGCCTAGGATAGCTTCAGCTAATAAAGCTTCTAATTCCTTTGATTTTTGACTTTTTTAACGCACTATAATTGATTTTAGGTGGTTAATAGGGTGTAGTAAATAACTACACTTACTTTAGTGGGGTATAGCTCTAGGAAAGCGTCCTGTTACGCCATCCGTCCCGTTACGCCACAACTTACGTTACTCTTAGATTAGCATATAAATATTTTCCATAGCTTAGCTGTTAATTTAGTATATAATCTCAGTCGGGAGTTATGCTGCGTGGGGTTTGGCGCCCTCCTAATTGGGCAATTGCAAAAGCAGGCATCACACCCTCCAGGCCTTCCTAGTTAACCACCCTGACACCACAGGTGTGGCGCTCTGGCCAGCCTCGGCCGGAACTACGGTGGCCGGTTTATAACAAAACAGTCGCCTACCTTTCAAGCTCGTCCATAAATTGTATATCACACAAGTAGTAATTCTAAATACTATCGTTGCTTTCAAGTATTGACCTCGACGCTATCTCTTCCAAGTTCCCAAAATATCTACACCTCCACCGCCGTCCAGTCTATAATCAACATGCTTATACATATCCGTACCGTCTACCTAAACATGATCCGCAATGGCTCGAAGCCAGTAGAAGGCCGCATGAATGAGCCTAAGTATGCAGCCATCGTCGCCGGTCAGAAGATCACTTTCTATGATGGCGACGACTCTGATGAGGAAGGCGATGGTAACGCAGATTCAAAGATAAACCTTGGAAATACGTTAGAAGCCGAGGTCGTTGAGGTTAGGAGATTCAAAGGCTTTAAGGAGATGCTCCAAGCGTACGGAGTCCAAGCTTTCTTGCCGGATTTCAACGGCAGCTTGGACGAAGCAGTAGAGGTGTATAGGGGGTTTGAGGGGTACAGAGAGGGCGAGGAGGAATTTGGTGCCTGTGCTATCAAGCTGATGGTGCTATAAGAGCTTGATTTTGAGATGCAATTTATCATCTGAGCATTTGAGGTACTTTCGAAGTTAGCACGGTTGCATTTCCAGAATGTCCTTGTCCACTAAGTCTAACGAGATATCTCAGGGTCCAGAGATCACTCACTTAGACCTAAGGCTTTGCAGATCTTTGTCACGAACTGCTGTCGTCGCAGCCCCTATGCACTCGTTAGTTAAAGCAAACTATAATCAATGAGAAGTTTACCGTCAACAGAGGAACTGTTTGAAGGGCAACACATGTGAGGCTGTGATCATGTGTATTTATTTGGGCTTAGCCTGGAGGTAAAGGGTGCGTAAAGTAGCAACCGCGCCCTGCCAAATTCAGCAGCTCTAACCCCGAGAAGTGGCTTTATTTTATAAAATAGATCCTGAGGATTAATAGTAAAAGCTTTAAAATATAAAGGGTTATAGAATGGAGACATAGTATTAGATAGTAATGTACGTAATAACAATATCACGTATAAACAAACAAACAAACACTTATGTAATATCCTAGAACATGTATAGGAACAACAACACTAACGTAAGTCGTGGCGTAATGGGTATAATGGCGTAATGGGTATAGTGGGGTTGAGGCCACCCCATCAAAAATATCATCAACTTCAAAAAATCGCAAATAATTCAATTACTACCACCCTAATTCATCTATATCATCCTCAGAAGGCTCTTCTTCGCTCTCTTCATCTATTTCCTCAATTGTAGCTTCGTTTATAGGCTGTGGCGTTGTTCTAGGCCTCTGTGAAGCTGTTGCTGTTGCTGCTTCTGCTTCTACAACTTGCGACCGGAGTTCTTCTGTAGAAATGTGGAATTGACCCTTCAAAACTGCTCTCTTACCCTTATTCTGTACTCTACGCTTCTGAATAATTGAGCGTAAGTTATCACACTCTCTTTTCTGAAGGGTATTGCGTGTATTAAGGCGTTCTGACTCATCTGCTAACTTATTGATATATCGCTTTGTAGGAGTATTCAAAACACCTTGATTTAAGGCTGTAGAGAGCACAGAATTCGCTTTTTAAAGGGTATTAAAATCAGGTGGACTACTGTTTAAGAATACCTTCTCAAAAATATCAT